GGGGGGGGGACTTCGAAGGAGCTATACACCATCTGTTTCCAGAAGTGGATGTGCTCTCCATTTCCCATAGTGAAATTAATGTTCTGCAGGAAACTGTAAAATCCCATTGTAGGTCTAAGTTGTAGGGCACTGGAGATATCCACCTGAAAGACGATAGAATCGGTAGATGGTGGTGGCAGTGGTCTCTGGGAGGCAGAGAGCAAGAGGATAGGGAAGCTGAGGTCTCAAACTAGCAGAGCTTACATAGGGTTTGGGATGGAATGTTGTGTGGGGATCATTGAGATCCCTTATTTATAGAGATTGCCTTGGGAAAGGAGGGAAACTTTCCCGCTTTGGGAAAGCAGTCCAAAGTTTTTTTGGATCTGAAACAGTTAAGTGGGCTAGGTTTTGCCACATGTCTATGCGGTTATATCAGTATTGAAGTTCCCGCTTCTTCCTGGAATCCGCATGTGAGCATGAATATAGCTACTTCCCTTCTAGAAGCTTGACCATATGTGTCACAGGAGAAGTTACTCTAAAAAATGTTTAAGTGTTGATAAGGTTGTGTGACATAAGATATAAAATAGCGCAAATGTGATGCTAGGTCACAAGGTTGCAATAAGAAAGAAGCAAATCACATCAAGTGAGCATGATGATCCTGCTATAGGAATGGCAACGGGGCGGGTTTGGGACAGGGCATCCATTCCCCATTGGGGACGGGGAATCCCCGAATTTTCCCCGCTCCAAGGCAATTACTTAAAAAATATCTATTTTATGGACAATTTATACATAGGATATAGGAATTTGGGGGTATTTTAGAATTGAATTATAATACTTTAGGGATAATTCAAAAATAAAATTATGGGATCCTAGGATTTTAAAAATTTAGGGAAAACTTAGAGATATTTTAAATATCAATATTAAACCTAGATATATTTTACTAATTTAGCTTCGGGTTCGGGGTGGGTTCGGGGAATTATATACAAAACCCGCCTCGTCCTTGTTTAAGGTCGGGGAAAACCCACTCCGTTCGGGGCGAGGCCCCGGTTTTACGGGGGAAATTGCCATCCCTATCCTGCTATGTGGGATTAGGGCACTGCAATGTGCCACAAGATCATTGCTACACCACGAACTGCATGAAGGAACTGCACTGGGAGGTCGCAACATTGTGTACTGTTATGAGGTCCTTCTGCATTGGGGAAATGGGAAGGGCAGCAAGTGTAGTCATGGGAAACGGCTATGCTGGAACTCGGTGTTACTATTTTAATGCTTTAGCACACAGATACGACCCCTACGTTGCCCGCTCATGCAAATTCACAATAAGTTTTTATTGCAGGTGATGCGATGTCAAATTCCATGTACTTACACCAATCATTTAGGCACCTGGAACACTGGGCACTCCAATATCACCTAAATTCCTTTTACTTCTTAACAACTATGATCTAGAAATTTTTTCCCCTCTATAGACAAGATAATATTAGCATATTGAACACATCTAAGTTGTAGTATCAGAAATAATGACCATGTATGAAAAACCAAATCTCTTGTACAATTGCACATAATTTGGAAAACATCAAATCTTCACTATAACATTTACATGATCAGATGTTTGCATATTATCTCATGCCTAGCAAATGCACTTTGAATTAGCATCAAGTGTAGGGATTTCTGTTTAAGGGGCAAAAGAATCTCAGTCATGTATGCCATTGTAACATTCTTTCCCCTTTCCTCTAATACCTTTTTGAGTTACGATCCAATACATAGAGGCCTCTAACAGTTTTTCCAGCTTTCCAATTTTCCTTGTGATTTTTCTACTCTAATCTGAGACTTAAGTCTACTGGAGGTTCACTAGAATATTTACAGGGCACAAGCACAAAGCTGGAGGATAATATAGATCATCAAATCATGGAGTCTGGCGACTTCTATCCTCACGCACTAAGAAATAGATCCAAGGGGAGCAAATTTAGATTCAGGGACATTGTTGCTGATGCATGGTGTGGCCTAACTAACATGTTTTCAATTTCTTCTTGCATAATGTATTATTGAACTCCGTTCATTGATCGTGTATTGACTTTGCTGAGTATATAACTTTGTAACATGCTTATATTAATAGAGTTTAGTGTTATTTATTGTTAGTTGTCAATGTTAACTTAACGACATTAACCGCATGGGAAACTTTTTTTTTCTGTGATTGAAAGCTCATGTACAAACCAATATCAGACCAGGGTACTAATCAGCATTCGGCACTGTCACTGAGTACACCCTATAAAAAAATGAGATACTACCACTAAAAGGTAACCAATAACTATATTCATACAACATTGAAATTCTTTTTCGTAAAGGTAAACAAGCCTACCAAATAATAATAATAATAATAATAATAAGTATAAACATAAGCACAATCACTACAACTAGAAAGAGGAACAAGGATCACTTAAAAGAAAAGATGAATGATCTGACCTGATTGCGAACAGGGACATTAACGATCCTTTCGGAAAGGAAAACTCCTTCCTTGGGTGGACGGCGAATGGTGCTGAATCTCTGTTTGCACATAGGGCAAAGAGATTCAACCTTGGACCACTCCATGATGCAGACGAAACAGAAGTAGTGATTGCAGCTATCAATCCAGCCTCTGATAGCCTTCCCGTCGTCAGACAAACAAATACCACAAACGTCGGAAACAGAATCCATGGTTTCTTCCTCCTTTTCATATTCGATTTTCTCTTTCCCTTTCGAGCTGGAGATCGGAGATGGGTTAAGGGCTAGGGTCTTCGGGCGTTTGCTGGGAGACGGACATGCCTCCAAATCCGAGCTAGCGGAACCTTGCTCTTCCGGGAACGCACCCTCCTCTGAATCGTCGGCCATAGGCCCGTCCAAGTGTGAACCGCAAATGGAATTGCTCTCTACTCTATGGATTCGGTTGCGCTTTTTTCGGGTAAGGCTGTTTATTTTATTTTTGGGTAAATTGCACATTAGTAGCTCCGTACTAGGGGCTAGTTCACTTTATACCCGAAGGTCCCGAACTTCAGTCTTCAAATTCAAAACGTGTTCCACCACCTCTGCACCTCATTGTCAAAAACTGTCATTTTAGTCCAAATTCGTTAATTAGCAATGTTTTTGAAACCGCGTTGATCCGGACAGTCGGACCGTTCGGCCCGGAAATCATTCAAGAAACCGGTTCCGTTTTACCTTTGACCCATTCTTGGATAAAAAACCGTTGACTTGTTCAGAAAACCACTGATTCAGGCGGTCGAATCATCGATTCATTTGACCCAGACATCGATTCACGGTATGAGAAATTGCAAATTTGAGACACAAACTCATATATAATATCCAGGAAGAAGAATAAGAAAAAATTGCAGATCTCAGATCTAGATCTCAAAAGAAGAAGAGAAGAAGAAGAATATCCCAAATCTAGATCTGAAAAGAAATGAAAAATCAATCTCAGATCTGAGATTTGATAACTCGTATGAGATCTGTCATTTGCGATGTGTTATCGTCGTCGCCGATGAGCGTCGAATCATTCTCCTCCTCTTCCTTCTTCTTCCCTCTTTCTTTCCTTTCTTTTCTTTTTCTTCTTTTCCTTTTTTTTTCCTTTTTCCTTTCTTTCTTTCCTTCTCTTTTTTCTTAGCCGACAAAATATTCTTCTTCACTCCTCCGATCCTCCTTTCTCTATTTCTCATGACTCATATACTATTTGGCCTTTCCTAATATGAACCGTTCGACTTGGATGGTCGAACTGTTGACCCAAAAACGATTCTATTTCTGGGTCAATTTTTAAAACCTTATTAATTAGTGTTAGATGACGCTTGAATAGGCAATATGATTTCTGAATAACTTTCGGCAAAGTCAACTAGAATCATAAGCGTATCAGGTGTTATTTATTAAAATTGATGAATGGGTTTTGATGGATCAAAATTCTTTGCATACCATGTCTTTCCTGCATAGTGTAATTAAACACCATTGTTTACTGTATATCCTAACCTTTCTATTGAAGTACCAATGCTTCCCCGTGGAGGTACGAAAAAAAACGTTATCAGAGAAGACGACGTTGTTGGAAAAGAGGGATTTAGATCATGTCACCGTTGTAAACTGTAATCCTTTTATCAATTATTCAATCCATAACAAATGAGGTTTAGAGTGTTTAGACCACCACTGTTGTCAGAAAAAAGATGGGTAAAAAATTTAAGTCACACATGTTCATCACGTGATATAGATAATGAGTGATGAATAAGTAACAATGGCATACTAAATTATTAATTTTCAAGAATTCATATACTGCAAGTCACATACTATGAGACTAGTCCCAAAGTATGAGATATTAATTTATCCCCTTTCTTTCAAATCTTTCTTGGGTAATTGGGTGTACGGATGCAAATTAATCAGATTGGATTCAAATTAGGGTATATCCAAATATGATGAATTGTATGTTCAATCCAATTAGGGTAATTGGGTACTTTTATTAAAGCACTTCTATAAAACTACTTTTATAAAAGTTTATGGAAGTACTTTTCAAAAAGTTTTTTTATAAAAGCACTTTTCAACAAAAGTACTTTTGTAAAAACACTTTTATGAAAATATTTTTATCAAAGTACTTTTACAAAAGTGTTTTTATATAATTTTTGATATTTCATTTGGTTTAGATTGGATCCAATCCAATCCATTTACATTTTAATGGATTGAATTGAATTTGGTTTGTATTGGACTTAGACTAGAATGGGTCCAGTCAATTTATAAATGAACTCATATTGGACTAGATCAGGTTGGACCAAATCCATAGAATTGACACCTCTAATTATACAAACCGGGCTGAGCTACCTATCACGAATGAATATGCCAATGTTCATTGTAGATAGGTCCAAACTGACGTGTTCACTCGTGATAGGTAGCCCAGGCGGGTGCATACAATCTTGTCTGCTGCTAATCCGGGCTCAGCTAAAAGTGCGATTGTGTCTGTTTTGGGTCGGTTCATCTCCATCCAAACCCAAACCTTACTGAGTTTCAATCGCCCTTCTTTCCAAAAAAGAAGGATAAATTATTTAGATACCCCTGGGTTCCTGATAAATAGTTGAAGTTAACCCTTTCGTTTTCATGACTTAAGGTACTAGTTAATTTAATATAACAAATATTGCCCTTCTGTTAGTGATCCCTAAGAATACATTTGCATGAAGCTTCATTGCTTGTTTTAATAGTTTAAAAACCCAATTTTATCCTTTTGTCTTAGATAATCTCCGGAACAATAATAACCACCTCGACTGAACCAATTAACCACCATTGTCAATAACATTAACACCATAGCTATCTACTAAATAATTTTAGGGGTGTCAATTGGACTGGATTTGGTCTAATTCGATTCAGTCTAATATAATTTCATTATAGATGGACCAGATTCAATCCAATTGGATGAATACTTTTGACCATTTTGGACTAATCCAATTAAATGTCTGGACCATCCAATCTATTCAATTGGTTTTAATTTAAATTGGTTCTAATCCAAATCTGACCCATTTGGTATATGCATTCTTATCTTCTATCAATGGACCAGATAGTGGTTCAATTTGACTCAACCCAAAATAAATCTATTACGAATGGACTAGGTCCATTCCAATCCAATAAATACTTTGGACCATTAAGTTTAGACTATTAGTCTAATTCAATGTCTTATTGGTCCATTCAATCCATCTAAATTGATTTTGAATTGGACCTAAAACTAGTCCATTGGACATCTAATCCTACCTGTTATTCGTCCACCATATATGCCTTTTGATGCTCGAGAGAAAAAAGATAGAACAAAACATGCAATACAGAGGAAGCTGAGAAATAAATGGAGCTCCAAATAGGCAATTGAGCTATAGACTCAGTTTGGAAGGAGTATAGATGCAAATATGTACAGTGCAAATACATACAAAATATAAGGCTTTGCACTCTACATATTTACATTTGTACTCCTTCCGAACTGAGCCATAGGTCCTGATAAGATCTGCAAAGTCTGATTGGATTTGGGTTAGAGATTGGGTTCTGGTCTAGCATTTTCCCATTCCAGCATAGCTATCAACTTATCATCACTTTCCTGAACGTAAAACACAAAAGAGAACAAAAGATGATAACCCATCAAATAGGTCATATTGTTCCTTTGGTGTTGGCGACGAGTTTCCCATTATTTGGACTTAGGCCTTGTTCATGTCATGGTAAATGACTTACTTTGATAAATGTATTTGGGCAAGTGTTTCCTAAGAAATACTTACCGGAATAAGGGCAATTAATAATATTCTTTTATTCTCCCTTTAAAAGGTGTACAATGATCAATTTATCCAAAAGAATAATATTATTGAAGGGACAATGTTATCCCATCACATATTAGCGATTTTTGGTGTGCATGGATAAATAATTTAGGGAAAATTCATGATCAGTACCCTGAACTTTAGGGGTTGTGTCAAGTCAGTCCCTGAACTTTAAAACGTGTCTAACTGTCTATGCAATACCTCGAACTTTTAGAATGTGTCTAATAAGTCCCTATTATTAATAATCCATTAGTTCTTTGTATAACATGATGACATGTGCCACTTAAAACTTTTAAAATATCAAAACTACCCTTGAAAGAAGACATTGTTCATTGTCTTCTACCTTGAGATTAAAGAGTTGTGCCATTGCTACGACAGTGTTGGGAATTGACCAAGTGTCGGCAATGGCTGAAACCACCATTGCTACAGTTTTGTATATTCTTTATTTTTTTTTTTAATTTTTGCTACAACCTTCCTATCCCAGCTAGGATGCAAGGGGAAATGATGTTGGTCTTAGCATTTGCAAGGAAAAGGTTTTGTTGATTGTTAATGTTGCATCACAATGGTATAACTTAGTTTCTTCTTTCCTTATTTCAGAATTTACTTGTGTTTGGATTTGACTTCATTAATCATGGATTAATTGTTGGTAATTGGTAGTCTATCATTCAACAAGCCAGAAAACAAGATTGCTTGGAATCAAGGTGGAATGACAACATAGTTTACTGGAATCAAGATTTAAATGGGGGGAGTTTTGTTTAAATTGATTTATGTGGAAGTGGCAGATCAAGAAAATTATACGACACCGATGGGTAGTTTTTGACTTTTACAAAATTAGCTAATGGATTGTTAACGACAAGGACCTATTAGACATATTCTGAAAATTTGGGATATTGCATAGGCACGTTTTAAAGTTCGGGGACTAACATGACACAACCCCTAAAGTTCAAGGTATTGATTAGGAATTTTCTCAGTAATTTACCCATGGTAAAAGAGCCTCTCAAGAATTGTCTTTTCCAAGGGACCCACTAATACTAGAAAATAAAACGTAGATTGATTTCTTTTCCGTAAGACCTATTGATGATGCGCGATCTAACAGCTCCCTACTAGAGGACAGCTCGGATGCTAAGCTGGCAAGTTCCCTGCTGGAAGGTAGCTCGGATGCCAAGCCAACTAGTTCACTGGAACGACCTGCAAAGAGACATCCGAACTGTCCTCTAGCAGGGAGCTGCTAGATTGCGCATCATCACCTACCAATATACCCACTCTTATTTCCTAAAAAACAAACGAGGCCTTAAAAGAACCTATCTACTCAATCCTATACTGGGCAACAACTGTGCAGGAATACGTATGGCTAATTTTGTGGTGGACTTTGGAAATTTTGAAAAAAAAATAATTGAAGGAAAAAGAATATTTTCATCCATTTTAATGGCACAATTATAAAAAACATATTTAAGTAGGTTTTGAAAGCCAATGGGTGCTTTAAATAATTTCCCCTAAAAAAAGTAGGAAATGATTCCTTGCATAGTGGAAGTTGAACCATGCCGCTCCATTTTATCAAAAAAATTTTGATGATTTTCAAACCCTTTAAAACGAACAAAGTTTTTCTTTTTCATTTTTTTTTTGTTTTTACCTATGCAATACATTGATTTTGATGTTGCGCT